TTCATCTTCCTCGCCAAACAATCCCGCAGTGCTCGCCCAAGACCAGTCCGCCATGACTGAAATTCGCTGACTGCAGCAAATTGCCGATCTTGCGAAAAATAGTGACGAAAAACAGAGAAAGTGGTTACTTCATATAAGCAAACTGGGACTATCTACAACATCAAAAGAGTTTTAATTCAGCTACAATATGCCAACCTTTACTTGGACCGAACAAGACTCAGCCAGCTAAAACTATCGTCCCTCAGTTCCCGCGTTCCCTTCCATTTCCAGTCCATGCTCATTATTTCTGGTAACCTGTTGTGTATGCTACACAAGGCGTCCAAAAACTCCCATCTTCGGTTTCGCGTGTGCCATTACCGTGTGCCATTAAATATTTTCGCTTGCGCTTGATTGGTCTGAACGCGTCACGTGACTAAATGTGTCCTGGCTAGGACTGGGGAATATCCTACTGATAATCCCCAGTTTTCAAAGTTCAAGGAAAACTGTGAGCTTTGAGGAACAGATAATGTCCAAGGACAAATATCCGAGGATGTTTTCTCGCCAAGTGGAGGCTATCGTTTATTCAGAAATAAGTTAACTAATTAGATTTCCTTATTCAGTTCTCATCGCATGCTCCTGGTTTTCAGCCGTTGGCCTTTCAATCACCGGTAGCCAAAAAACAGGGACGAAATAATAAGCAGTACATGTAGTTGATCTGAGCTAGGACTTATCCTATGCATACAAATCAACTACCGTTGTTACAAAAATTGCGTCAATAAAGAACAAGAAAAAATAAGGCGTCGTCCTGGAGAGTGAGTGTTTTGGAGCAAAAATAAAGCTTATGGGCAAAAAGGTTTCCCAGTTGTATGTACGCGATGTAAGGCTCAAGGCGGCACATATTTTGATGTTTCGAACATTAATCAGATTAATGCCCCATCAGAATATGTAACATAACCAGAATCATTCAATTCCTTGCAATCTTAAACGTTTGTCTCCTAAAATATCCTCACCACGCCCCAGGAATAACTTTCCGGCTATATAAACAGGAATCGATCAGACACTGCATGAGTTTGTTCAGTGTTGGCATAGGAGCTTTCGGGCAATTGAACTTCAGACATCTTTCTCTCGGGACTGTGGGACAAATAATTTCTCGCCAGCAACTAGCAGAACGGGAAAAATTGTTAAAAATGCTCATTCGTCCGGGCTTCACAAGGTGCAGGTCTGATGAAGCTCAGCGTTAGAGTTGCCCCTTCAAAGCTGACGTTTGTACAGACGTGAACAGCAATTGAAGCACGTTGCGTGAGAGTTAAATTTGTAATAA